GTTGGAGTAGGAATATGCTAACAGGTTATGTGAGTGCCCGCACGGCACATCACAATTATTACGCCATATTGCTTTTATTTATTTTTTTATCAATACTAATAAAAGCGTAGTATTGTATTGCTGTGTGCAAAATGGAGTCTGCAATAATTCTATGTTTAGGCGTTAGTGTAGCGCTTTGTGGAGCCGCAGGCTGTCAGCCACAGACAGGAGGAGAGTTGAGGCTCCCTGCATGTTTAGCAGGGCCATTCCCCCTGTAGTTTTAGTTTTAGTTTTCTTTTCATACGTCGTTTTGGGAGATGCACGGTGGATCGGTGGTTAGCACCGATGCCTCACAGCTAGGAGGTCCCCGGTTCGCGTTCCGGTGTTAACACCCAGGATCTTTCTGCGTGGAGTTTGCATGTCCTACCCATGCAGCGTGGGTTCTCTCTGGGTTCTCCGGCTTTTTCACACCACTCAAAAACATGTTGAGGTTAATTGATGATTCTAAATTGTCCGTAGGTGTGAATGTGAGTGTGCTTGGTTGTTTGTCTCTAAGTGTAGCCCTGTGATAGACTGGTGACCTGTCCAGGGTGTCCCCTGCCTTCACCCTGAGTCAGCTGGGACAGACTCCAGCCCTTGTCGACCTTATGGAAAGAAATATCTGCTCTCAGGACCGTTATAAACTGCCTCCTTACTAAAGATGCAGAGAAAAGAATTAAGTATGCTAAACTAAGATTTTATGAACATGGAGGGAGACGTCTTGCATACCTTGCCAAGAAAAGAGCAGAGTCCCAAGAGTAACAGGATACATGATAACAGGTTGATAAATGACTGTTTTAAAGAATTTTATGTAAATCTGTTCTCATCTGATCAGACAAATCACTCACCCGAATTAATGGAAGATTTCTTTGCTCAAATCGATCTCCCAAAATTGTCAGAAGCACAGAAAAGTTTTCTCAATGGCTCACTCACAAGAGAATAAGTAATTAATGCTATTAAAAGTTTACAGAATGGGAAATCACCAGGACCACTAAATTTTATCAAGAATTTCAGGATCTGCTTATAGAATCGTTACTTCAAATGTTTAACAATGCATTTTCTACCATGGAAGTGCCACAGACCCTTAAGGAGGCTAACATAACGCTCATATTGAAAAAAAGGGAAATATTCCGAATCTCTTTCCTCCTATAGACCCATAGCTCTATTAAACATGGACCGAAAACTGCTTTCTAAAATCCTGGCAACTCAATTAGAAGACCTTTTGCCCACATTAATCAAAGAAGATCAAACAGTTTTTTATAAAAGGCAGAAACTCAACAAATAACATGCAATGTCTCCTTAATGTTATCCAGGTTTTCCATAAAACGTCTGTAGATGGTTTGGTGCTTTCCCTAGACACAGAGAAAGTGTCCTTTTTACACAGAAAGATTTGGTCTTGTTAACATTTTTGTGAAATGGGTCAAAATCATATATAATGACCCACAGGCAGCAGTTATGACTAATGGCTGTGATCAAAATACAGTAGAACCTCTACATACAATTGCCCAAACATACGACTTTTCCAACATACGACGAGAAGTTATTTTAAAGTTCACGTAGCGTACGTAGAGTCGTAGTGTATCTCAGTCGCAACCTCTACCTCCTCACCGACCTTCTCCTCCTACTCCTGCAGCGCCAAGTCGATACCTCCGTTCGCCTCTACTCTAAGGTAAAGTGACAATAAAAACCCTTTTTCATTGAGTACTTCTTTACAATTTATTTCTTTTTACATCTCTCTTATATAATGCATTTGTTCTATTGCTATGTGTAATTATCTGCAGTATCTATTAAGGAATTATCGTAGGATTTTTTGGCTGTGGAACGAATTAAATGGATTACAGTGTATTCTTATAGGAATATTTGATCCAACATACGATCATTTTAACATACAACGTAAGTTCAGGAACGAATTAAATTCGTATGTAGAGGTTCTACTGTACTTTTCTTCACGCAAAGGAACCAGGTAGGGCTGCCGTTTCTCACCTTTTTTATTTGTATTAATTGTTGAACCACTGACTGAGGCCATTAAAATGGTGCCTTTTATATATGGATTACAGATTGGAAATGTGTGTCATAAAATAACATTATAGGCTGATGATGTGCTAGTGTTCTAATCAAGTGTATCTAATCAAGCTGTTTCTGTCTCATCTCTCATTAGGATCATTGATCTGTTTAGTACATTTTTCGAATAAAAGAATCATTTTAACAAATTGGAGGCTATGCCTCTCAGTAGTCTTACTGTCATGCCTAATGTTATGCCATTTTTCCCTTTTAAGTCTTCTCCCTTAGGTTTTATATATTTAGGTATTTTTGTTACTCCCTCATTTTATCAGCTTTGTAAAGCTAATTTTGTTCCACTCTTTGGTAAGACTAGACGTGAATTAGAGCAATGGAATGCACTTCCTGTTTTGTGGCTAAGAAGAACAGAGTTGGATACTTTATCCCAGTCAAATAGTTCCAATGTCATTTTCGATTAGGGTACTGAAAGATCTAAATAGCTGGCTAATTTCATTCATATGGACTAAACATAGACCTACAGTTAAAAAAAAGAAAACAGCAACACTGCAGCTTCCAGATTCTATGAGTGGCTTGGACTTGCCAAATCTCAAAATATACCAGCTGTGTGCTTACTTGAGGTTCATATCTGAGTGAGTAAAGGATGAAACATCCTCTATTTGGCTGGACATTGAATCCTCATTATCAAATGCCGACTACGGGATCTACTACGGGCTGCACGGTGGAGCGGTGGTTAGCACCGTTGCCTCGCAGCAAGAAGGTTGCCGGTTCGCGTCCCGGGGAGGACACCGAGATCTTTCTCCCCATGCAATGTAGGTTCTCTCCAGGTTCTCCGGCTTCCTCTCACACAGTCCAAAAACATGTTAAGCTTAATTGGTGATTCTAAATTGTCCGTAGGTGTGAATGTGAGTGTGCTTGGTTGTCTGTCTCTAAGTGTAGCCCTGTGATAGACTGGCATCCTGTCCAGGGTGTCCCCTGCCTTCACCCTAACTCAGCTGGGATAGACTCCAGCCCCCCCGCGACCCTAATGAGGATTAAGCAGTGTATAGATAATGGATGGATGGAATCTACTATTTTTTGTAGATTTCAAGAGCATTAGGGACAGCTGCGATAATCCGCTAACAATAGATGCTCTAAAAGCATGGTGATCAATCTGCTGTCTGGAAGGACGACTCAAGTTTACACCATTTCTTACAAGTAAGGCATTATATTACAACAAGCACAACCCTTACAGACCACCCAGAGGTCTCTGTCATAAAAAAAAATGTTGTTTCAGCAATCAGGGAAGGGGTCTCTTAGCTCGTTCTGTAACATAATTCATGTCACCTGCTAATACACACAGGATTAAGAGTGTTTGGCAGAAAGAATTGTTAGTGGCTACTGATGAGGAGACATGGGAGGATATATGGAGTTATTCGTACTTAAACTAAGGAAATTTAAAATTTTACAGTGAATACATATCTCCCCAAATCATAGACATTTCTGTGACTCTTCACTTTCTCCTTTGTGTCTCGAATGTAAAACCAAAATCCCCTTTAACACGATCTGGAATTCTAACATCTAGAGGGATTGGACAGCCCTGTGCTTACTCACTGACATACAGTGTCACCAAACACCTCTCCTGACCTTACAGCAAGGAGCTTCCCCGCAGGGTAACATGCGGAGGGAGCATCCCTCAGCCTGACACTACAGATTTACGTGTATCCACCTTGGTGAATCTGACTTGGAACGCTCATCCTCATGGAAAGGAGAGACATTTAGCGTGATAATAATATTCTAGGATGACACCCACGGATGTTCTATCAATGCTGCTATACAAGAAAGCAGTACATTTAGCTGCAGTAACTGGAAACTAACTCCTCACCTACCACATCACCTTAAATGAGGTAGCCCACACACAGTATATGGCACAGTGATGTGACTGAAACAGAAACATAATGGTGGCCAGCCACTGGCAGACAGACAGTATTTGTGGGTTGTTTTTCCCTGCGGCACAGGGATGGAGAAGGCATCAATTAGCCTTTAGCAGACTCTGACCTTGAAATGGAGTGCAGGCAGAAAACAGGAAGTCTCCTTGTACAACAGCCTGGAGTTTCAGTTTGTGTCTTGCATCATTTATTGATTATCAATTTTTCAAATCACTGGAATTGTGCATCCACACATTTTAGAGGTCTTCCAGTTTGCTTACACATGCAGTCCTTCTGCAACATTCATTCACTGTGATATGCCTAAATCACTGTGGTGAAATTGTAGTAATCCCTATTACTTAAAGAGGATGGAATGAATTTTAGAAACCACACATTCACTCACTGTGGGCGGTAAAGTAAGCTGAATAGTACTGTTGTTTCTTGCACACTTATTTTTGTAGCAATAGTACAGAGACTTCGTCATGGGGCCTCTATGCAACACTCTGCAAGTCACGGCATGTCTGTGTCAAGGCAAAGTCCTGAAAGCATTTCCTGGCACAGTTGGTTGAACACAGCAAGTACAAAATCAGTGACAAAAGAGGAAAAATACTGAAATTCTCTTTTAACGACACTTACTTTGACTTTACAGTGATACAAATTAAAGTCTGGGGTTAGTTCTATATGCCCTGCCCACTATTACAGCTCATATCTTAATGTTAGAAGCCATTTTTAAATGAAAAGGAGATCCTGTCTGAAGAGAAAATTTTACTAAACATGTGTTGGTACTTACAGATAGTCGGGATGATGTTGTTTAATTCCTGTGTTGTCTGGGGGTGTGGAGTCTGCTTTGGGACGGTGGGGTGTTCAGCGTTGTATTTCAGTGTTACAGAGGGTTCCGTCTCTCTTGGAGAATGAGGTACATATGGCCCTTGTGTAAATTTCTCTTCCACTACAACCTCAGGATGTCGTGGAGTGATGGCGATGGTTGTGGTTAGGGAGACAGTAGAGGGAGATAAACGAGGAATCGCGACAGTTATTTCCAGCGTTGGGTCAACTGATATAATAATTGGGTCCTGTCCGATAGGTTTAGGATCTAAGTGTGTGGGTGGTTCATACTCGAAGATCTTATCCACAAAGACCCATTTGAGGCCAGCTGTGCAGAGGGCTAAGCTAAGCAGGCAGGCCAAGATGGGCAGAATGCAGATTTTCTCAGAGTGCAGGCATTTATTAATCTGTTCCATCTCTATGCACACGCAGCAGGTCCCTGGCAAGGCCACGATTCCCAAAGCCCCCACATGTTCCCCATCGCCATCACCTCCTCCTTCTGCAGTTTCCTCTGCATCCTCCTCCCCTCTCTCACCAGCTGCCTCTGTCTCCTCTGGTTTCTCCTCTGGGACTTGTCCAGTATCAACAGTAGAGCTGGTGGGGGAGGATGATCCTGGAGGAGGGGTTGGCCCTGCACAGAAATCCTCCATTCCCTCAGTCATCCTTTCGACTTGCTGGATGAAGTGCCCCTGAACACCTCAACTTCTAGCTCAGAGCATCACACAGTGGCTGTCTGCCACCCGTGTCCTTGACTGTGTTTTCTATCATGAGGACACAAAGTCAGAGCTGGGATTTCAGAGGAAAGTAAAAATGCCCTTCAGAGAGTTGAACCGTGTTAACAGTCTTGAAGATATGTAGTCAGCCTGTGCACGAGGGAAAGGAGTTCCTTACTCATGCTTTTTCATAACACACGCAATCATGGGTCTGTACAATCACCATATTTGCTGCAAGTAAAAATGAAAAAAAGATTGCAAGAGAATTAGATTCTTCAAATGTGTTGTATGGCCTAGTGAGCAGCAGTGAAACAGTAGCACTTACTTACCTGAACACTTGGGCAGAAGAGGAGGAACAGGCAGTGTCGACGTGATGGGCCGGCTGCAGCTGCAGCAACTGTAGTGCAGAAGACAGGACGGCCAAGCACTGCAGTGGCAGGAGAGACATGCTGTTGTGTCTGTAGAACTCCAGGCAGCTGAAAGGCTGAATCATCAGGGAGCGGCAGGTGCCCTTCCTCTCAGCGCAGCCACAGAAACAGATGAGTAAGGGGAAAGAGAAAGAAAGAGAATCATACAGAGAGGGAGGGGGGCTGCAGTAGCAAAGAAGGGCAGAGGATACTGGATACTCCCCTTTTTTTCTCACCCCTCCTCTCTCAGTCTTTCCTCTCCAAGTGGTTAGCAGGCCAGCTGCTGGCCTCCTCCCTTTCTGCCTCTCTTCCTGTCTGGTGGTGTGTCCGTGCTGTCTTTGCAGACTGCTCCCAATCCTAGCACAAAGCATCCAGCTAAGCAAGTTCCTACTTGATCCAATTAGAGCGCATGTCAGCGAATCACAGGCAGGCAGGCTGCTGTGGCCACCCCCTCCAGCACCACTCCCCATTGATTATGCTGATACTAAAAGGGGTGGGTTTTTTTGTCAAGGGGAAGGAGTCAAGGGAGCAGACATACAATCTACCCAAGGGGATACAGCCATTATTTTATTACACTTATCAAGTGTCTAAGTATTTGCATGAATTAAAGTAATAACATAATATCACCAATGATAGGAGCAAGCATTTGTGAAGACAAAGGACATAAGCACAATTATGTCTCACTATATATATATACTATTTCTATCAATTAATTTACAGAAAAAAAATAATAACGTGTTAAAAAAAATAACGCATTTAATCGCACCTTTCTCAGTTCCCTAATTTCAGGCACACCGTTAACGCTGATGCACACACTCCTGCAGGCAGGTGGCGGTAATGCACATAAAGTTGGTTTACCAGCAGTGGAGAAGATGAACAGGATACTTTGATGCTACGTGTCCACAGGGACGATTTTGCCAAAATTTGCTCCCCACAATGCTCCAGAACGCAATGCAGGGCATTTCACGACACATTGAACAGGAAGCGAGAAATTGACAGATCCTGTGGACACGAGGTGTCTTGGATGAGAGCATGGTTGTGTACAAATTTTGCAATAAAGGGTTTTAAGACAAAAAGTCTTAAAATGTTGACTATAATAGTGGTAATTGCACGTTGGGTTTGTATTAATCTGTGAATTTAGTAGACAGATGAAGAATGCACAGATAAATATACACTGTTGCCCATAAAGTTGAAATAAAATATATCACAGTAAAAATTAAACTACAATTAACTTTTGCAGACTGTGTATTCAGGCTTAAACTAAATTGAGGGTATTGAATAAATAGGATTAAGGGCTTTGTTTCAATTTTTCAACCTTGGTCAATTTAACGGGAACCACATATTTGAGGGGATTTCATGCATTAGAATGTCCAATATTACTCTTTTAAATGTCCCTCAGTCACTAACATTAAGTATGGCCACCCCCTGACACGGATCAATGCGCTAAGACATCGTGGCAGGGTTAGGGTTAGATAGGGTTAGGGTTAGTTGATGGTGTCAATAGGCAGGGCGTCCCACTCTTCGGTCAGAACCCAAAGTCAGAATTGGTTTTACCTGGTAACTGGTATTTTCCGTTTGTTCCACACTTCCCCTAATAGTGTACAAGTGTGACAGTAAGCCTCCAGACCTTTAATAAGGGGAAATCCCAACCCCCAACCGTAAATACCAACAACAAAGTCGGCTGGAGGAGTCAGGGCTTAAACAAGATGAAGATAGTCAGAAAGGTCAGGTCACCACCACACTGATCATTGGCACTGCTGTGACCTCTTCCAATCCTCAGACAGAATTAATACCAGTAATGGTGTCTGTGGGAGAAGACTTCCTGTCAGGCCTCTGAATTAGTGACCTGCATATTGATTAACTTCTCAGCAATTTGACCCTCTTCATACGGAAGCCCAAAAAATACTGACCACTGTGTTTATTTAGAAAAGAATTGATTCATTTATTTCTTATTTCCTGATTTACTTCTGGGCTCTGTATCTTTAAGCACTGCTTTGAATAAGGACGCTATGTGCCATAAAAACAACCAAAGCTTGTGCACTAATGCTTTTTACACGGTCAAGCATAAGGACATGGGAAAGACAAGGTACTCAGATGTGTGAAAAATTAATGGGGCGACCAGTCCACAAAAAGCAAATATATGGCAATTTCAATACCTATGTTTCCAAAGCTGGATTTACAGACAGCTGAAATATCTCATTAAATTCAAACATTTCTTTGCAAAAAGTGAAATCATCATGAGTTATATGTATCTACAAATACCTCAAATGACTTTGGAGCGGCAATATTTGTATCAGGAAGAAGATACACGATAGAGTGATGATGAATTACTTGTGAATTTTTAGGTCAGCTCTATGCCACCAGGATAACTGTGTAACCTATGTCACTTTATGAATATTTTCCTTGTATGTGGTGCTGTATAGAATTTTCAACGGAGCCAATCTATGAGATTGGAGGTTTTGTACACAGCTTCCTCATCTGTCCTCCTCTTTGGTTCACCAAACCAATACAGGCCCTAGCTTCAGTTTTCCTGCTGCCTGTCCAGTTTCTCTCCAGCTTTTCTTCTCCATCCCAGTTCATTCTTCAGTTTACCTGCCTGCCTTAAAATAAATGATGTGTTTACTAGTCCATCTGCCTCATGCCTCTGCACTTGGATCCACTAGCCAAGCTGTGACAGGTTAACTAATAGTAAAGGATACAATTAGGCTATCAAATTAAGGTCGACAGTTTAGCTTCCTTAGTTGAAGTTCCATTTCTTAATTAGCTAGCCAGCAGTCTATATTTAGAGTCTCAATTTTTTCCTCTTCTCAAAAAGTGAATCTATAAAGCACCATAATTATGAACCACATTGGAGTTGGTTTGGGTGGATGTCAGATGGAAAGTGCTTGACTCCCACACGAGAGATGGAGTTACCATTTAGACTCCTGTGGTTTAGGCAGCACTTACGGTGACTAAACATAACCATAAAAGAGTTCCATGATGCAGTAGGGACTGTCGGCAGACATGACAATCTTGTAATCACTACAAGACCAAATAGTTCTTGTATGTAGAAATTTGACCAATTTCAAATAGTTTCCTGATAATTTAAGCTGCGGCTTTCCATCCTCCCCTATGCTGAAGTTTAATTAAATTAATTTCACCTATATATATATATACTACCGTTCAAAAGTTTGGGGTCACCCAAACTATTTTGTGTTTTCCATGAAAAGTCACACTTATTCACCACCATACGTTGTGAAATGAATAGAAAATAGAGTCAAGACATTGACAAGGTTAGAAATAATGATTTGTATTTGAAATTTTTTTTTTTTTT